ATTGATGATAGGTTTAATACTTTCTTTCGATCGTCGTGCTGATCAGTAGGTTTTTGTCACCTCGGAAAGTACTTCAATTGGGCACATTGGCTTTAATTTAGGCTGTCGTATAATCCCAAACTTACGCGATTTATCGTCATGCCGTTTTGTTATTAAGTCAGAAAGCCTACGTGATTTCATGTCAGTCCTCTGGAGACAGGATCTAGGCCAGATCACGCCGGAACTTTGTCTTAATATCTATAAACTTAAACAACTTATTCCTCTCTGTAACATAAGTCTCGTTTAGTTTCTGAATAGAAGCCTGGTCGAGATAGTCATTCACCTTATCCGAGTGGTAGGGTCTCTTAATGTCACATAACTTAGGAGTCATAGCATAACGTTTAGAACAGGTTACACAAGTCAGATGGAAAGATTGACTTACAATTGTCTTCTTTGTCCGGCTGTATTCGGTGAATTGTCGCAAGAGACTGCGACCATACCAGAGGCCACACCATCTTGGTCTTCATATCTTCAAAAGAAGAGATAACATTCTTCGCAAGCCTGGCAGCACAACACGAGAAGTTGGACAAACAGGATTGCTCGGGAGTCTATAGCTTCAAATGCGGCAACTGTGAGCAGAAGTATTTTGGTGATACAGGAAGAAAAATTAGCCTACGAATCAAGGAACACCAAAGACCTCAGAAATATGGACATTGAAAAATCCGAAATAGAGGAACACATCGCACGACCGGGACACGAACTCGCCAGTAAGGCTGGCTGCATATTGTGGAAATATGGGAAAACGTAAGATACGAGAAGCCATTGATATCCTGACTGAAGGAAACCCAATGAACAGGAGACTTGATTAGCGAAAACTTTGCATACTGCCTAAGCCAACTCTGTGAAGACCAGGCAACAGTAAGATCAGCACAAAGAAAAAGACCGGATCAAGGTAACACCTTTAAGTTTACGAGAAACTATCGTAACCAGACCGGAAAGGGACAATCAGAAGTCAAGAGAAGACATCTTCAATGAGCCTAATCAAAGAAAGTAGAACCATCACATTTGTGGGCTGGCCTGCATAGAAGAGCGATATAAACTGTGGTGGCCATTTCTAGTTGTCATTTTAGTTGATAGGTTTGCTCACTGACGTGGTTCATGAAGTAATGGCTCGACCACGAGATTTACTCGGTACACATTCTGCACAGTGATAAAGGAATCTGCAGCTTCAAGTTAGGTTGCCATGCCAATCGAGAATACAGAATTTAGGGACTTGCTCAGGGAGGCTGGTGTATGCATGCTACCAAGGGCCTGAGGCAGAATGTAGAACATAACGCACGGATACGTTGGCAGTGACGGAATGAAATCACTGAAACAGGAAGATGAGAAAAGGATCCCACTGAGAAAAAGGGGAATTCTGATAGGACCCGAAGGGAGAGGATCGCCGATTAAACCACAACCTCCCGGTACTGTGGGAGGGATGTGGATACCAGCCGGGATTGTGAATAGGTTTCATATAAACTTGTAATAAATTGTAAGTTTGAAGGTGGGATACGAGGATACAGGATAGGTGAATAGCCCAGGACAGAAAGAGAGATACCACAACTGTTTCACAGACAAGTGGTGAGTAATAGTGTGGTGCCAAGACTAGCAAGATTCTCTGACGATGCCTGCAAAACGTCTGGAAATGTGTCGCGTCCACGGTCCGACTCTTGAAATTGTCATGCATACTGTGGATTCCGGACAGGGTGCGTTGCTTTATGTCTTCTTGCCAATATGACCAAGTTGCAAAAACAAGTTAAAACAACTTTTATACAGTAATTATTACATACTTTTAAGCAATTTACCCAAATTCATGATGCCTTACGGGCTGCGTTAATAAAGAATTTCCTAGTACATTTTTGAGGTGAGTTGAATTCTATTAATGAATGATTTTGAATAGACTCAAGATACTAATATGATCTTATGGATAATATTCAGGACCTGTTGATATTATCGGAGCCTACTCATTATGAATATAAGTGACTTTGCTCATAATATTGACAAATAAAGGATTTACCTATCTGCAATCTCACAATAAATGTGATACGGGAGAGGGCTGGTTGCCTTGTAAGTTATGTCTGACCTGTCAATCTTAAAACTCATGGCGGTGTCGTCCGATTCTTTAGATGTCCGAAATCTCTTAAGAATGAATGTAAGGATCAACACCATAAGCAATTCTTGAGGAAGAACATAGTCATCCTAGTTCGCTTAAGTTTACTTAAGGCCATGTAGTGAAGTTTCTCGCATACTTGTAGGAATAGCTCTACGAGGCTATTGCATTTCAATTTTATCATCCCTCAATTCTGTATGAAAAGTAAGACTGTATTAAATTAAATGACATCGTAAGTTTTAATCACATTATTTGGGAAAAATTCGCCATAAGCGACTTGGGGTTAATAGTTTCTTTTTCACAAATTTCTGGGGCCTTCGAAAAATAAATAATTTGAGCTTCCCGAAATAATTTAAAAGCTTTTATTCAATAAACCTTTTAACAATTTTGATCATGCTACTGAAATAAATTACAAGTAGGCAGAGGTTTTGAGCACCACTTAGCAGGGCAATGCATACTTTGACTTCAATAAGAAGCCGATTGCAATAGGCAAGTCTCAAAACAATTATAATACCTCGAAAGCAGATCCCATTAAAAATACTTAATGCGATGACGTCATTAAGCCTATATCAGAGGAACATAACAGTACCCATTTTTTCGTATATTAGTGATGTAGTCGATTGTTATAGCAAGAATAAGTCTCCTTCATCGACAATTCTACCAAGAATGTGATATGGGAAAAAAAGGCCTGGCCTTCTTTAAAATTCACATCTGCCCTGTGAACCAAGGGCTCTCGTGGAAATGTGGCCGAGTGGTTAACGTGTCAAGCTCCCGTTCTGCACTGTCACGGTTCGAATCCCGCTGGGGGTGTTGTTAAGACCGATGCGAGGTCAAAACTGCAGTCCATCCTGGATGAGAACAACTTTTGGGAAAGCAAGGCACTGTGAAATTCAATGGAAATGTCAGCTCTACTCATATGATTGTGGGAAAATTCCACTACCATTCCTTTATAACCTTAAATTGAATAGGGTAAATACATATCATATAACATTACTGTGCAGTATTCTGGATCCGAGACTAGGATACAATTATTAAGTGAGGTATTCTAAAGCAGTTAAAAGATGAAATTTGGGTAAGAACACATTCACCAAACTTACGTAGGACTTTCTGCACAGGAGTGTAAATAATTTCTTTCAGTTATGAAGCAGACTTTAATTACAAATACAAGTAAAAATATATAATGATATATATGTATATGGCTTGTTGTGTGCTAAATTTTATCCTGCTCGAATTAAAAAGAAATTATTTGCACCACTAAGTAGGAAGTTTTGCGTAAATTAATTGTGTAATTTTCGCATACATATATATTTACATTTATTTATTTACATATCCCCACAAAGCGGCTCAAGTCACTGGTGACAGGTTGGTATGCCATCTTAACTGTCTTGGCTAGAACCTTTTCTCGGGGCTATATTAGAGCGTTTATTGTATTTCAGCCCCTTCTTTCTTGCCAATTCAGACAGAAACACACAGAGAAGTCTTAGTGCAAAGTGAAAAATACCGATAAAATTAATTGCGCCTCATAAAAGTTAAGCCTAGGTGTATGAAAAACCATCGTAAACGAGGTGCTATGAAGTACTACAACCAAGTCAAGAGAAATGGCTTTCTCAGCCGTCCACGCCCCATGCAAAGTTGCTCTGAGAGCTAACTATGCATAAGGAAATAACTGGCTGAAAATACTGGAGAGTTTTATTTTAAGGCCAAAACCTCCCTTCGAGTATGAAAGAGGTAATTAATTGCCTGTTAATATAATGCCTGTCAGGGGCTTACAGAGACTGTCGAGAAGGCTAACCACGACGAATTTTGGTGATGATTTAACCTCGAAAATAGTGCTTGCAGCGACTTTCCACTCAAGGCCAAACCATCCAGAAGTAAGCCTAGGTCTTATTCGTATTCAGGGCAGGACTCGAACGTAGAATTTTTTAGATTAGAGCCAAAGAGCGCAATTAGATTTCATAATTTCATGTTGGCTGATGTTGGCAAATATGAAATCGGAAGTTCACTCTTATTGGTATCCAAGACATTAATGCAGTCTGGTCAGCGACCAAATATAGTTAAGGTCTGCTTAATTGATGTAACACTAGTTTCATGTTAGCCTCTATAAAACATGCTAAGCAGATCGTTTTGGCCTCTACGTAAATGTTTTAGGGCATGGTGTTCTGTAAACATTATTAGCGTAAATCAAACGATACAATTTACACAACATAGTGAATGTGCTCGAACTCATGAGTATGAAGACTGTAAATACTGAAAGGCTAGCATCAACGTTCAATGATGAAAGAAGACATAACAACAATGAAAGAACACGCAGTATGGGCTGGGCTGAGGACACAACAAAATTGAGTTCGATCTCCATCACTGGTTATCCTCTCTCCTATAACGAGCCGCTGGCTACAGAAATCCGTGTTAAATGCATAATACAGAATTTCAAAAGTAAGCGAAATCGGTTGTCCAGATCTCTTCGGTACGTTATGGGGCCTACCAGAGCTTAGGCAATTACGAGCGTCGTGAATACAAGTACCAATACTGACGTATACAAATCATTTGTTGCCGGGAAAAGTCACCAACGCGACTGGTGTTTCGACTAACTTTTGCTCTTACACTAGTTTCATATAATTTACAGGTCACCAAAGGAGACTGGGCTTCGGCTAGTCGCAACCATGTCATTTGGCAGGACTGTTCATTCCAAAAAACATTCATCCACTGGACTTGAGTTCCGATTCGGCCTCGTCTTGCTCACGTCAGCAACCCAGTAGGAATGTTGACTTGGTAACTAGCAAAAGTTGACTATGAACAAGGCCGAGTTGTGCGAAACAACCATCACGATGGAGGAAAATGCGAATGGGTGCTTCATGCAGTGGTTGCTGAAATGGAATACCATGTACGAGGCTCGCCAGTCATGAGACCCGTCCACTTCAAGCTCCCTTCGTCCCAGCGTTATGCTGGCTCAAACAGCGCGACTCGGCTTAAACAGAATTCGAGAGGGCGCTTCTCCCGGAGAGGCACATGGTACACGCGAATCGGAAGGTCGGCAAAAGACTTTCCCCACATCACGCAATCTCGGCATTGCCAATGGGCTCCACCCCCACCGCCTTCAAATGTGCCAGTCTCTTTTTCTCTTGAATAGAGTTTTCCTTACGGTATCTAAGGGCTTAATGAGCATAAGAGCCGTTTGTAATTGGCCCCGCAATTGTTTTTTCTCCCATACCACAAAGCCAATGGGACTCAGCCTAGTCTTCTAGTTGGGCGCCTTAATTTCAGACTATGGTTCCGAAGAGTTGATATTGCTTTTTTCCATACATGGACACCCTCATGACCATGGCATTATCGGTCGAGAAAATTGTCTTTTAGGTGAGCTCAGCAGGTCTTCGGCAACCCCATTGGCCGGACACGAAGACCAATTGCAAGTATACGGCCAACCTGACCAATTTTAATAGCAAATACAATCTTGCCTTATCGATAATCAAACCATAATACGTGGCATGTGATAGGCCTGAATAACCATAAAAGTCACGTCTGCCTTATGAACGACCTGGCACTCGCGACAGTTTGGCGTAATGGTGAAAAAACTCAGTACCACTCGGGTTCGATTCCAGCAGGGAGTGGTGATGAGAGCCACACGAGGTTGAAACATCCGTCCAGCATAGTCGGGAGGAGAATACATTTTGGGAGGCAAGGCTGGGTGGACTTCAATGGTATCGGGGAGTCTACCAGTTTCCTTGTGGTAAAATTTAATCGCCGGCCGTAGATCAACTTGTATGACCTAGCATGAACACATTTCCAACCCAAAATCTACTACCCAACATGGATATATGTTCAACTAAGTCTTATTTTATTCCTAAACACATAATTTGATTGTCTAGCACTTTCCTGAACCAAATCATGAGGCATTTTTACAGGATTCCACACAGATATACGCGACGATCTAGATTCACCAATTATACAAAGCTTAGGAATAACATTACGTAATGGGACTACGTTTAGTCGCGATCTCCTTTGGTTGTAACAAAGTGACCTCGTTCACACAACTTGGTAAAGTTATCAGAAAGCTTGTCCGGAGTTCTCTGTTATGTAAGTCATGATAATTTCTAACGCCGGACCATGGAATGTGTACATTCCCAGACTTTGACTTGTCTGGTCATCAATTTATTGCTATCGGTATAAAGTGAAACAGAAGGTGCGATAGAATCAATTTTCTAAAAAATCATTCGAAAGCGAAAGAAATACCGGCCACTTTTATACTATGGAAAAAGACGCACTCCCAACAGCCACAAAAAGGACTATAAATTTCCCATCTTCCAATTTATAACTCCAGGCCTAGTAAAAAGTGCATAGAGGATGTGTAAAATGTGTAAATAAAGTCTAGCCCTAGGGAACCTTTCTCGAATTTTTTCCAATTACCTAT